GAGGGAGGAGGAGGAGGAGGAGGATGAGGAGGATGAGGAGGAGGAGGAGGAGGTGGAGGATGGAGGAGGAGGAGGCAGGAGGGAGGGAGGGAGGGAGGGAGGGAGGGAGGGAGGAGGAGGAGGAGGAGGAGGAGGAGGAGGAGGAGGAGGATAAGGAGAAGGGAGGAGGAGGAGGAGAAGGGAGGAGGAGGAGGAGAAGGGAGGAGGAGGAGGAGGAGACGCTGCAAACAGGACCGCTTCGGGGTCCGACGGGGCTCGCTGTTCCTTGGGTCATTCCGTGGTTGTTCCTCTAGCCGTCTTCGTGCACCCAGCCTCTTTCTGGCACCAAGAGGGGCTCCGTTGCTCGATTCATGTTCCGTATTCCAGCAGCCCGATTGCAGAGGTCTCCACGTTGTGCCAAAGGCTTGGTGAGCCCTCGTCAGGGCAGAAATCTCTGGCGAGTTCCTTGCCCACCCCCCAGGGCGCGGATCGCGAACCACACCGTTTACCAGCCTGAGACACACCATGACCCGCAAGATCGGCATCGGCTTCTCTCGATGCCGATATCACGGATTCCTTCGGTTTTGGAGGGTGCATCCTTGAGACTGTCACCACCTTTGAGCTTGCCAATCGTAAGGATAGGGAGGAGCTCGAGGCTGGCAAAGCCTTTGCAGACCACACCCTTCGGAGCCGCCGATTCTTCGGACGACCGCACGGTGCGCCTGTGGTGCGCGGCCACCGGCGCGTGCGAGCGGACGCTCGAGGACCCGAGAGACCGCGGCGGCCCCGTCTTCTCAGCTGCCTTCTGCCCCGCAGGCAGCCTGGCTATCACCGCCTCGTGGGCGTCGCGTGCTGGGGGGGGCGACAAAAGGGGGTGGACAGCGAGTGCTGCAGAGAAGGGGCCTCTTGGGGCCCCTCAAGGGACCCTTCAGGGTCCAGAAAGGGGGTCTCTGGGGCCCGAGCAGTGCACCCGTTCCCCTCCCCCCCGTGTGATCGCCCCCCCCATCAAGCGACGCCCAAGCCTCCTTCGACGGCGTCGTGCGCATCTGGCGCCTGGCTGACGGCGCCTGCCTGCACTCGCTGGAGGGCCACGCCGGCGCGGTGGTGTCCGCTGCCTTCTCCCCCGACGGGCTGCTGGCCGTCTCTGCCTCCGACGACCGGACGGCCAGGCTCTGGCGGGTGCGCGACGGCACCTGCGCGGGGGTCCTGGCGGGCCACGGCCGTCGGAGGCGGAGAAAGGGTGCCAACGCCGCTGCCCTCCGCCCGCTCTCCCCTCTCTCTCGGCATCGCTCGGACGTGTGCATTTTTCCTTCGGCGAGGGCCATCGATTATTTCGAAAAAAACCACGCACGAAACCGAAAGAAACACAGGAAATGAACGTCCGAGCGATGGCCAGTTCTCGGCCTCCCGGGGAGCCCTCGTGGTCGGCACGCGCTCCTGGAGAGGTCCGGGGGGCAGCGGCATCGGCACCCGTTCGGGCGTTGCTGGACGTGCCCCTGGCCCAAGGTGCCCCCAGCTTTTCTCGCTCCCTTTCGGAGCCCCTGTGGCCCTCTATAGGCCTCGTGAGGGGTGCCCCCTGGAGGCCGCCGGGGCCACCCCGAGAATCCTGGGGGCACCTTGGGCCAGGGGCACTTCTGGCAACGCCCGGCGTGGGTTCCCAAGGCAGGGCCCTGAATGCCGCGTCCTTCTCGCCGGACGGCTCCGCGGTGGTCACGGCGTCGGACGACGGCACCGCGAGGATTTGGTGCTCGCGCAGCTGCGAGTGCCTCCACGTCCTGGGCGGGCACTCGAAGAGGCTGCACCTCGCAGAGTACAGCGGCTGAGGCCCGCGCGCCGCGTCGGCTCGGCAGTGGTGAGGGGCGGACTCCGCGCCTGGTCGTGGTCGCCTTTGCCTTCGAAAGGACGTCGCATGTGAACATTGAGTCGGGCAGGTCCCTTCTGAGCGAGGAGTACGCAAAACGAGTCCAACAGAGCATGGGGACGATGTTTCGACTTGTTTTGACTATGTTTGAGCATGTTTTGTTTTCAATGTTCTTCCAAGATCCGCGTGTACTATAATCTTGGAGGACAGGCCCGACCTAATACTAACACAATTGCATGCATATGAACTGTCGGAGCTCCGCCCTGATTTCTTGGGTCTGCGCTGGACCCCCCTGGCGGCGCCTCTGGCGCCGCACCTGGCGCGCTCCGCGTACCAGGGCGGGGGGCCCAGCGCAGACCCGAAACATCCGCGCGGAGCTCCGAACGTGTGTGTTTACACGCCGTGGTTTGATCCCCTGTTGTGAAAGCCGTTCGGCCGCTGACGACGGCGCTGAAGAAGCGGACGGCGGCAGCGGTGGCGGCGGCGGCGACGGCGGCGACGACCACGACGCTGACGCTCTGGAGCCCTTCTCGGGGCTCTCTTGGAAGCCTCTTTGGCTCTGTTGGGGGGGCCTCTTGGGGGACTTTGTGGAAAGCTTCGTTCGGCCACGCGCAAAGGGGGGTAGGGTTTGGTGGGGCCTGTCCCTACAGGGGGATTTTGGGTGACAGTTTAAAATACGACAAACAGTCCAAACATTCGCAATCTTAGTAGAAACAAAAAACGTCACCTGACTATCGTTTTGATGATATTTGGATATTCCTCCTGTAGAGGGACAGGCCCGACTTAGGGGTAGGGGGAAGGCTTCTTAGAGGCACCCTGCTTCTTTGAAGGCGCGGGCCTAACATCTAGAGACAAGGCCGGCGCCTTCTAAGAAGCAGCCTCCTTCAGGTGTGAGTGGTATGTGGGAGTGTCCCACATGAGAGTGAAGAAATGGGCCCTAAAGGCTCCCTTTAGGGCCCGATTTGGAGCCAATAGGAGTCCACAAGGGGCCCCGAAGTGCCCCTTCAAGGCCCTTCTCTTCACCCCCAGTCGGGTCACGTCCCATTAACACCCGCCCAACTCCTTCTGAGAAGCCTGTCCTCTAAGAGGAAGAAACCACATAATATAAACTTTTGGCGCTCCGCGCAGATTTCTTAGATCCGCGCTGGGCCCCCCTGGCGGCGCCTCTGGCGCCGCCCCTGACGCGCTCCGCGCGCCCGGGAGGGGGGTCTGGCGCGGGTCCAAGAAATCTTCTTCTTCTTCTTCTTCTTCTCTTTCCCACTCCTACGCCCTGGTGCGCGCCGCCATCCCGTGGTCCACGGGTCACCACTTGCCAAAACACCCCGACCCAACCCGAAGGCCTCAATTTGCCCTCGATTTCCAGTGGGGGGGGCGGGGAACATTCAGAAAACATATATGTAATCCGTACCCCCCCAACCCGAAATTCGGGTCTTCGAGTTGTGTTGGGGTGGTCTGGTAGGTGGTCCACTGGAGCCGCCTCGAAGTGTTCCCCCCGTTTGCCCTCGGATGGCCGCGGCCTCGCTCTCTCTCCCCCCCCCGTTCTTCCAGCGCGGCGCCCGCCGGGGTTTGGCAGTGGCGGCCCCCTAGAGTGAAGTCGGGCCTGTCCCTCTACAGGAGGAATATACAAGGGGGAACTTGCTCTTGTTGACCATTTTTGGGGGTATGGTTGCGCAATTGTTGAGTATATGGTATACTTTTAGTTGCAGTCCGCCTGTAGGAGGGCATGCCCGACCGAACCCCAGAGGGCCAAGGTGGCCAGTCGTTAAGGGCTCGTCCAAACGATGTGCTGGAGCAGCGCGTTGTCATTCATAGACACGATGTTGGCGCAGCAACAGCCATTCGGACGCCTTGCCGGCGTGCGTCCCTGGACCAGAGGTGTCCTTCCACAGTGGGCATGTTCAGTCCGAGGGGGTTGGCACATCATGCATATTGTTGTCCCTCAAAGATGGTAGGCGGATTGCTTGGCCTAGTTGTCGAAGAAAAAACGCCATAAACAAACATTGGCGCTCCACGCGGATTTCTGGGATGGCCGTTGGGCCACCCGGCGGCGCCAGCGCGGATCCAAGCAGTCCACGCGGAGCGCCAAAAGGTTTCTGATGTTTCTGTTGTTGCTTATTTTTCTAAGGTGGGCGTCCCGTGCTGGGGGGTGGGGTGGGGCGATTTGCAGACCACGCCCTTCGGAACCGCACCCACCTCCCTTTAGGCGCGGATTGCAAACCACGCCGTTCACCAGCCTGAGACACCCTTATCCGCAAGATCGGCATTGGCGTCTCTCGATGCCGATCCCAAGGATTCCCCCCAGTTTTGAGGCTGCACCCTTGAGATTGTCACCACCTTTGAGCTTGCGCATCGTAAGGATACAGTGAGCGGCTCGAATGAGGATCACTTCGTTTCCAAAAGGGGTTCTGTCGTTCCTCAGGTGACTTAGGTGTTCATCGGTTATCAACCGTTCCTTACGCGTTGTTGTTGTTGAACATTATTACTTCTAAAGAATAATTATTGTTGGGACCCCTGGTGCACGACCCCCCTCCAAAACCTAGGCCGCAGCTACATTTTCATCATTTTTTCGCGAAAGCTTCAGAAAAGTGGATTATGTCCGGATCCGGTTTTTTGTTCCCCCCCGCTTTCCCTTGCAAAAAACACTATAAAATGAAATTTCTTGTTCAAATATAATCAAATTTCAAGAATCCCTTGCAAAAAATAAGGTAAAGTGGACATTCGCGCGCGCAAGACGAAATCCTTCCAAAAGCTTAGTGTTCGGAGCGATTTTAACATAAAAACATCAAAAAACCAATGGTTTTTCAACAAAAAAATGTCAAAATCTCATCCCGCGCGCTCTTGCGGATTCGTAGGAAAACCCAACACTTTTTAAACATTTCTGTCAAACGGGCTTTTGCGAGCAACTTTTTCGAACTTCTGCGACAACGGTTGCGCACCTGCCAGGGCCATCATCCCTGTCAAATAATACCATGCGGGACACATTCGTCTCTCTGTATTATGTATTGTATGGCACAATTGCACCATGCTGGGCACATGCGCGCCCCGAATAAGTGACCAAGTTCTGTGGGTGTGTACCCCACGCCAGTGTAGTAGCCACGGTCGTCCGCACGCCACGAAGTGAAGTGTCCCAACGTCATAGGGCGGGAAGCTGGGTTTGGGTGGTCGCGAAGAGTCGTTTGGATATTTGGTAGAGCTTGTAATGCCCCCCCACGAAGTGGGGGTATTGCCTGGTGTCGTATGAAAACCCTGGCACTGGGGAGAACACCACGCGTTCGGGTAAAATGATTGTTGTTGTTGTTGTTGTTGTTGTTGTTGTTGTTGTTGTTGTTGTTGTTTTGTTTATCATGTATCGTTACGTGTGCGTAACTCCTTGGAAACATGGGCCTTCGTTCCTGATTTCTCCTTCCGTACGTCAGACCGATGAGTGTAAGAGTGAGCTCGAGTATGGCAAAGCCTCTGCAGACCACACCCTTCGGAGCCGCCGAAACTTCGGACGACCGCGCGGTGCGCCTGTGCTGCGCGCCCACCAGCGCGTGCGAGCGGGCGCTCGAGGGCCCGGGAAACCGCGGCGGCCCCGCCTTCTCGGTCGCCCTCAGCCCCGCGCTGCAGCCTGGCCATCACCGCCTTTTGGGCGACGCGTGCTGGGGGGGGCGAGCAGAACTCCATGCTTTAAGTCGGGCTTGTCCCTCTTCAGGGTTTTTTTGTATAATTGAATAATGTTGGAGTATTTGTTCAGGTGCATGTTCAATGTTTCGGCCAGGATCCCCCTGGAGGGGGACCCGCCCGATCTAATTTTAGGCCTCCTGGACGGGGTCCGAGTGGATGGGGTCGGAGGGTCGCGCCGCATCGTCGATGCATCGGCGATGCGGCTCGATGTGGAGCAAGATTCTCTCCACGCTGGCGTCGCCGATGCATCGCCGGCGTCGTCGGCGCACCGCCGATGCTTCGGCGATGCATCGCCGATGTGTCGACGATGCGGCGCCGCCCGTCGACCCCACCTTCTCCGACCCCATCTGGGAGGCGAGGCCTCCAAAAAGTGGGCGGGCAGCGAGGGCTGCAGAGAAGGGGCCTCTTAGGGCGCCTAGAGGGGCCCTCCAGGGTCCAGAAGGGGGCCTCCTGGTGCCCGAGCGGTGCACCTTTCTCCCCCCCCCCAAAACTGATCGCCCCCCATTCATTGACGCCCAAGCCCTCCCCCAAACTTCTCGCCCCCGAGACTTACCGCCCCCCCACCTTCCTCTCCCCCCCAAACTTCTCGCCCCCCACCAACTGACGCCCAAGCTTGGCCTGGCCGCCTCCCGGAGGGTCAGGTCGGTGGCCCGGCTGGCTGCCGCCCGCGTGGGCGCGGCACTCCTCGGATAGTTGCAGAGGGGCTGGAGAGCCGCGCCGAGCTCCGAGAGTCGGAGGGTGGAGAGAGGTACCGATGCCGCTGCCCTTCCCGCGCGTGCCCCTCTTTGGGCCTCCTGGGATGGCTCCGTCGCCACGGCCGGACTCGTCTCGCAATGCGGGGGTCTTGGGAGCAGCAGTTTCGGGACCTTTTGGGCTTCCCAGAAAGCGCACTTCTGTTTAGATTGGTTTCTGATGACAGGCGGACGGAGACGGCAGCCGGGCGCTGAAGAGCGCACGGGCAGATACATGCAGCACAGCGTACGGTACAACGCGCAGTGGCGTGCACTGGAATTCCGTGAAACGTGGCCGAGCAGACCACGAATCAAGCCCCAGCCCAAGATTAAGCCCCAGCCCAACATCAGCATCAACAGTCCTCAATCGTGTTCCGCTGCCGAGAGCAGGCACCTTCGGTAGCAAGTTATGGGAGTCTTGTATGTCTTCGCATTTTCGTCCTTAGGGTGCGCTAGCGTCAGGCAATCGATGAGAAAATGCAGGTTTAGCGTCAATTCTTGACGCTTCGCGTATCCCCACCAGCCCATCCTACACCAGGCACTCGAACGAAGAGCGCCGATGATCGGCAGCTGTATTCCTCCCCTCTTCCTCCTTCTCCTCCGCCTTCTCCTCCTCCTCCTCCTCCTGCTCCTCTCCTCCTCCTCCCTCTCCTCCCCCTCCTCCTCCTCCTCCTCCTCCTCCTCCTCCTCCTCCTTCTCCTCCTCCTCCTACTCCTCCTCCTCCTCCGTCTCTTCAGCCTCCCTGGTGGCGTATTGGAAGTGTCTTCGAACGTTTTGGTGGGCTCTTGGGCCTTGCGGGCGGGCGGGCGGCGCTCCGCCCGCCCGCGCGCAGGGCCCAAGAGGGGGTCCAAGACGTCTCTCGGAGCCATCTTGGAGGAGATCGATCAACGAAGGGGGGTTCCTAAATTTCAGCCCCCCCCTCAGGAGCCACGATCCTCGTGAGGGGTGTCGAATTTTAGCCCTCCCAGGGGTCGATCTTGGACGCTCTGACCGATCGCGGCCCCCCCTGTCCAGGTCAGTGGGGAGGGGGTAGGGGGAGGGGTAAACCCCTCCCCGAAGGGGAAGAAGAAGGGGTGGAAGAGGAAACGCTCTAAACCACCGACGCCCAGAGGGCTGGTGGGATTCAGCGTGGAGACTAGCGTCGACCAGCCTCGGTTAGCGTCGATTCGCAAGCGCCAGCAAGATGGCATGGGAGGCTTCTATGCGTTGCCACAGGAGGCTCCAGCCTCATTCAGTAGCGAAGTAAGCACGTACATGTACTCCAGATTTCGTAATAAAAGGGAGGGGGTCTGGACCCTCCAAGACAAGCCATTTCAAACCTCCCCCGTGGGAGAACCCTCCAAAACATCGTCCCCAGACCTCCCTGGACCTCAAAGATAGCCTGGAAGAGACCCCATCCGAAATGAGACCCCCCTCCCTTTATTACGAAATCTGGAGTACATGAACCCACCTCCTCAGAACTCAGAACGCTCGGACGTCTCCTGGCCTTCCGAGGAGCTTTCTAAGCCTTCCCCGAAGATGCAGAACATTGGAGGAGAAAATGGTACCCATGCCCCTACCCTTCTCCCGTTTTCCCCTTTTTGGGCCTCCTGGGATGCCCTCGTCGCCACAGCTGGATTCGCCTCGAAAGTCTGGTCAGAACGCACCCCGGGAGAGGTCTGGGGAGTAGCGGTAACGTTACTTTTTCTGGCTTCCCCAGAAAACCCCTGGGAACACGCTGGGGCCTCTGACCAGCCCCGCCGCCTCCCGAGAGGGCCTTCTCCTTCTCACTTCCCCCCCGAACAAGAGGAGACAAAAGGACAACGATACACGCCGGTCGTTGAAAGTATGTATTTTTGGATTCCCAGATCCCAATCCACGTCAAGCGCCTTCCTTTTTCAAGAATCGGCACGCTTTTGCTGTGTTTTGTTGTTCTCTGGGAGGACCTGGACCCAATCCACTACATCCGCCTTCCTACTTCATGTTTCTACCCACTTCTTCCGACCGACGCGCAACGAGAACAGGACGAGCACGAGAACAGACCGAACGCGACAACGAACACACACTGCTCAGCTCTGTGGGCTCCAGCCCCCCCCGGGGCGCCTGCAGGTCCGCGTGGGCGCCGGTGCCTCCCGCCGCGTCTCGAAGCTGGCGCTGGCGGGCGGCGGCCGCAGCCTCCGCTTCGCCGCGGGCGCCGGCGGCGACGCGCTGGAGGTCACGGTGGCGGAGGCGCCGCGCCAGCCCTGCCCCTTGCACGCGAGAGGGCCAACTTCAGGAGGGGAAAAAACACACAGACACAATTAATCGGCGATTCCCAGAAAATATGGGAAAACATCGGAAGTGGGGGGGAAGACAAACACCCCGAAAATATGTGAACATATGGGGGAAATGTTTATTTGTGTGTATTTATCTGTGTGTCCCAGTTCCCCTTCACAACTGCCGCCCCCCCCGCACAGACTCGGAGGGACTCGTGCGCACAAGGTGGCGGGCCGCTCTTGCGGGGCCGCCTCGCAGCTCGCCCCTTATGGAGCATCGGGGTGCGCGCCCCCTGCCGGCCCCAATGAGAAGTCTGGGCGGGTCTGCGGCAGACTACACCCGCAGGGGACTGTGCAAGTCGTGCCCCTGCTGCTGCATCCCTCCTCCCTCCGCCCTCCTCCCTCCGCCCTCCTCCACGCCCCGGCGCCTCTGCGCAGGCCTTGGCGGTTCCCTCGACGAGATGTCGAAGGGCGGTCGGGGCCTTGCTGCGCAACGCTCACGCGGGGAGTTACGCACACGCTCTGCACTGCATCCTCGCGGGCGCCTTGACGTTGACCCCCCACATGCGGACGTCCTGTCCTCCCTCCGCCCTTCTCCCGCCGGCCCCTCTCCCGTGCCCAAAAATCCAGCTATCCCACTGCGTGGGATTAGCGACGCTGTGCATCGCCAGCGGTTCTTGGAGCATGAGTAGGTCAGCTCTGTGTTGATAAACCATCAACCCCACTGCGTGGGATCATCGTTGTCGTACATTCCCAACGGTAACCCCCGACGCCGCGTCACCATCACAGGACCCAGGCGTCATCGTTGTCATATACTGGGCAATGTAATGAGACGCGTGAGTGTGAAAAACGGTTTTCACCAGCCCCCCAATTGCGCACCGACTCCGTGATGCGCTTGGGCTTCAGCTCCACGGGCCGCGTGGGCGCACAAATCGTGCCCCCCCAAGCATAACATACCCCTTTTCCCCTCTGACCTGCTTAGATGGCCCAGAGTCGGTCACACAGCCGTTGCAGGCGCGGCACTCCACCTGGCCTGCCTAAGTGGCCCAAGAGGGGGCACTGTCGGCCACAACCGTCCCAGGCGCGGCAACACGGGCCACAGTGCCCTACAGGGTGGTGACACCAGGTAGCTGGGCCAACCAAGGGAGTTCAGGCGCCCCGCATCGCCAACGGTGAGCCCCGACGCCAGCGAGAGGTCTGAACCAAAGAGCCCCTGAAACATGAGTCGTTTAGCTTCGGCTCAGAAGCAATACGCCCCAGTCAGTGGGATAAGCAATGTTGTGACGCCAGCGGGAGGTCTGGACCACAAGGTTCCCGAACCATGCGTAGCTTTGTGATCAGATATCATATATCCCAGTCAGTGGGATACACGTTTTTAATGCATTTCCAGCGGTGACCTCCAACGCCATGTTGGCTCAAGCGGAAAAGGTGCTGAATGGCACCGCCCCAACGTAACAAATCATCGCGGATCGAAGTGTGAATAGTGGTACTCACCAGCCCCCCAATGGCGCACCAGTTCTGTGACTCGGAGAGTGGAGTTTCAGCCCCACGGGCCGCTTGGGCGGGCTAATCGTGCCCCCCCCAGGCATAACATACCCCTTCCCCCTGCTGGCCTGCTTGGGCGGCCCAGAGTCGGTAACCACACAGCTGTTGCAGGCACGGCGCTCCACCGGGCCTGCGTGGGTGGCCCAAGAGGGGGCATGGTCGGCCACAGCCGTCCCAGGCGCGGCAGCACGGGCCGCAGTGCCCTACAGGGTGGTGACTCCAGGTAGCTGGGCCCACCAACGAGCTTGAGCCGCCCCAAAGCCGTATCACCTCAAGTCCGCCCTTGCTCATCCTCCCTCCTCCCTCCTCGCTCCTCCCACTTCCTCCCTCCTCCTTTCTCCCCTCCTCCTCCTCGCTCCTCCCCTTTTTTCCCTCCTCTCCTCCCCCTTCCTCCCTCCTCCTCCCCCTTCCTCCCTCCCTCCTCCTCCCCCTTCCTCCCTCCCTCCTCCTCCCCCGTCCTCCATCCTCGCTCCTCCCGCCTCCTCCCTTCTCCCTCCTCCCTCCTCGCTCCTCCCTCCTCGCTCCTCCCTCCTCCCTCTCCTCCCCCCTCGCCTCCTCCTCCTCCTCCTCCTTCTCGTCATCATCATCCTTCTCCTCTCCTCCCCTCCCTCCTCCTCCTCCTCCTCCCTCTCCTCCTCCTCCTCCTCCTCCTCCTCCTCCTCCTCCTCCTCATCTCCGTTCCTGCCGAATCGATCCGATCCTGTCTCCTGCAGAGTCTATCCGCAGGCCTTGCCTCCTTCGGGGGTTGCCCAAGGTGCCCTCAGCTTTTCGCTCCATGTTGGAGCCCTTGGGGCCCCCCTTGGCCTCGTGAGAGTTCTCTGGAGGCCGTGGGGGCCTCCCCCTGGGCCAGGGGCACTTCTAGCAACGCCCGACTCCTCCTCCCCATTCTGCCTCCTCGCTTCTCCCACCTCCCCCCTCCCTGCTTGGCTGGATGAAAATAACGCCGCAACGCCGATGTTGAGCTTTTTACGTTCCATTCTTGTGGTCCCTCCAACAGTGGAGGTGCTTCAGACGTCGCTGTGGGGTTTGACGCGTCTTCCTGCCGGGTCGATCCTGTCCTCCCTTTACCCTTTCCCTTCTCCTTCTCACTCACCCTCCTCCTCCTGTCCTCCTCCTCCTCCTCCTCCTCCTCCTCCTCCTCCTCCTCCTCCTCCCTCTCCCCTCCCCTGGTGGCGGGTCTCTATGCTCCAAGTTGTCGGTCCCATCTCCGTTTGCCAGTGGATGGCCAAATTTCCCCACGCAGTGCTAGAGGCCACGAGGTTGTTATTTCTCTTGGCAATGTTGTGACTTGCTTGTCCAACTTGCGAACCTTTCTGTTCATGCAATTGTGTGTACTCCTTTATTTAATCGCTTCGCTCACTCCGCCGGCCCATTTTCGCGCACCGGAAGGCAGTGCACAGGAAGTTATTGGGAGTTCTCCGATGCTTTCGAGGACGTCTTAACCTGGAGCCTTACTGTGGCTCGTGGGGCCCCTTGGCGGCCTCCTGACCGTCTGTTGGGGGCCTCTTGGGCTATTGGGCCTCTTAGGGACCTCTGGGGACCTCATGGGGGCTGCTTATGGCCGAGGGCTCGAAATGATGTTTCGTGTTCCCCCTCTGGGGCCTTTCTTGGGGAGTTCTTGGGGCCTTCTTGGGCCGTCTTGAAGTCGTCTTGGGCGGTCCTGGAGCCGTCTTGAGTCTCTCTTGGGGCCCTCTTGGACCCTCCCGGGGCGATCTTGGGGACCTCTTGGGCCGTCTTGAGGCGTCGGGAAGCTGAAAAGGGGGAAACGCCCAAATCTGTCCAAAACCTAAGGAAATCACTTAATTTGACCTTTTTGGGCCCTCTTGGGAGTGCTCTTGGAAGCCTCTTGGGGCGTCAGGGGGTAATCTTGGGCATTTTGGAGCGATCTTGTGGCATCTCGGAGCTCTCTTTGGCCCTTTTGGGGGCTTCTGAGGGCCTCGAGGGCGGCGCCTGCCCGACCCGACCCGGCCGGGGATCTGACCCGAACCGGCCGCTCCGCGCGCGCGACGTAGAAATACTGTGCGCAGCTTCGGGGATCTTAGCACGCCTCTGGTCCGTTGGGCCGGCGAATATTTTATCGCATGCCTAGAGGTTGACACCAACACCAAGATCGGCGGTGTTCCTCCACCGAGGGAAGAAGATCCCGATCTCGGTGATGGCGGTAATATTCTGGCTTCCAAGGTGGCCGAAATATTACCACCAACACCGATATCTAGGATCACCTCCCCCCTGTGGAGGCAGCCCCCTGTCTTGGTGTTCGTGCCCATCTCCAGGCCTCCCATCTTAGATCCGAGCCCTGAGATTCGACCGTCGCTGTTTTGTCCACACAAGGCGCTCTCGCCCAACATCCTGTGCCCCGGCGTGGTCCCTCGAGGATCGATCCAGCCAGGGCAGCGTGCGTCGCAGGAGCGGGATCGAGGGCCCCTGTCCTCAGGAGGAGAAAAAACACACAGACACCATGAATCGCCCACTCCCAGGAAAATATAGGAACATATGGGAAGTGGTGGGGAAGATAGAAGCCCAGAAAATATTGGAAAATATGGGTTTTTTTGTGTATTTAGTTGTGTGTCCCAGTGCCCCTTCTCTGTCGTGACTCCTTGGATATAGGTTAAGGAGCGCCTTTGGCCTGATCTCTCCACGTTCTGGCGCGATGATGGCCGCGCGCGCGCCGCGCTTTGAAGTGTGGCGACCTGGACCGCCCACTCCTCCCATACGGGTCCGTCCTGATCCCATCGTTCCGGCATCGATTACGTTCGGCTCGATCCGATTCGTTGCCGATAATTCGGGCGATCCGATGCGGCGCGATGCCCCGGCGCAGCCGATGCGGCTCGACTCCGATTCTGTGCCGATGCAGCCCGACGGCGTGTCCCCGCCGAGTCTAGAATGTGCTTGTGGTTGGACAGTTTTGGTTCACGTCTTCCTTTGGTCTCTCTTCTCCGCCAGAGCTGTTCGATCGCGCGCACAATCCCGAGTCAAATGGGAGGGGTCGCCGCTGTTTGGCCCGCAGACCTGTGTAGCGCACGGGGATGTACACAGTGCATGCAACATCTTTTTGCCGCCATGTTTTCTCTCGCACAGCTTCTAAACCCTGCAATTCGAGTCCCTCCCCTTCTTCCCCCCTCAAAAGCTGGGCGGGGGCTGCCAAAACCGTGGCTGCTAAAACGGCCCTCCCGAAAGGAAAAATCAACTTCCCGGAATGAGGCGCGGCACGCGAAACAGTCAACGGGTTTCTTCCCGGAAGGACGAAGACAGTTTCCCGGAGGTCGATATTAGCAGCCACGGATTTAGTAGCCCTTAGCCCGGCTTCCGGCCCCCCCTCCCCTTCCAGGATGCGGCCGCCCAGCTGCGGCTCGTGTCGCGCATGGGCGACGCGGCTGGGCTGCTGCCGGCCGCGGCGCGCGAGGGCGTGCTGCGCCTGGGCTACCGGCGCGCCGCCCGCTCGGCGGTGGCGGAGAGAGCAGGGTGCATCTCGGGTGTAGCCTATAGCCAGGGCCTCGGACAAGGGGACCCGCTCAGTGATAGGGCCCTGAAGCTTTCGTGGGCCCCGGAAGCGGCACGGCCGCTTTTTCGCCGTTTCCGGAAAAGTGTCCCTTGAACATGGAAACGGCGACCGGAAACGGCAGCAAAAACGGCTCCAGGATCGGAACCGGAGCGGGAACCCGTAAAAGAACGGCAAACCGGAACCGGCGAACAAAACGGCGTCGGAACCGGCAAAATAACGGCACAACGGAACTGGTAACAAAAACGGCCTTGTCGTTTCCAGGGCCCTTAAAGCCTGAAGCCAAGGTTTCTGCCAGAATCGCGAAACCAGGATCACGACACCACGCAACGGCAACAGCCTCATCCGTGCCCGATGCCGTCGACCGGCCCAGAGTCCGCTCGAGTCTCCTCGTCCGGATCTGGCTGTGTCTCATATGCGCCCTCGAAGAGCAAATGCTCCATGCGATGGACTCTCGTGATTCCGCCCATCGGGCTGCCCGACAAGAAGACCAAGCAGCCCCCCACGAATCACTAAACCACGTCTGTCGTAGCTTGCGTTTCTTGGGTGACGACAGTTCTGGGCAGTGCAATCGGGCGGGGGCGGCGTCCCCCGCTCCGGCACAGCTCATGGGATCCTTGCTCAGGCGACCCATTCCCGGCACGCCAATGCCCGAGCATCGCCAGGAGTCCGACACGGGCTTTGTCGTTTCAAGGTTGAGCAGTGCAGGCGGTGTCGGACACCAGCGCCGGCGTCGTCGGTGCTCGAGTCGAGGAATAGAAAAAGGTTGAACATGAACTTGCCGAGGTCCGTGCGGGTTTCTTGGATCGGCGCTGGGGCCCCCCAGGCGGCGCCTCCAGCGCCACGTTCAGCACCGATCCAAGACATCCGCGCGGACCTCCGAGAAATCATGGATATGCCGCTTTTGGTTCCTCCGCTGACAGACCTTGGAGGTTCGAGGGGTTTTTCGTCGCCACGGCGGAATTGTTTCGACATTTTAGGCCCAGGACATGTGATGGGGTCGATGTGTAGGTGTCGCCATGAAGAAACAGCGTGCGGAGGTTTCTCGCATTTGCCATGATCTCCCTGACGTACCCCAGTTCCCAAGACCCAAAATCATCAACACCGACTCTGGGTGAAAAGTTGGTCCTGACAGAAGGCCCCGCGGTTCAAGGACTCGTTTTCCTTCCGAACCCTTTGAGTTTGTCGTCCCTGTTTCGCCCCATCATCGGTCCTTCTCGCCGCCACGGATGACTCCACCTCCATACGAAACGGTTTTGTATACTCCGGCGACCACCCAGGTTATCGGGCCCACCCGCCCTCCCACTTGAATCATGTAACCTTGCCAGTTGCTCATGTCCGACGCAGGTACGCGGCACTGACGCGCGCGGGCATATGCGGGTTTGCCCAAACCTGGGTAGTCGAAGGCCAGACTGTCAGACTGGATTGGGCCCCAAGGGCCAATCTGGCCTGGCCATATTGGGTGATTTGGGCTATTCGCCAGACTGGCTTCGCGTCGGCTCCCTCGCCAGATTGCCCCCGTTTGCCAGATTGGGCCTGCCAGATTGGCGCCAGATTGGCTTCGACTACCCAGCCCCCCCCCCACCCCGACCCGATAGCCCGGCTTATCGACAAGAACTACTAAAACAATCCCCAAACGGGTCCGGGTGGACCCCGGGGCCGACTCTGAGCGGAGTGCGCAGGCCTTGCGGCGGTGATGCCGACCCTGACGGGACACGGCGACGTCGTCGACGCCTCCGACAGCTACGGCGACGACGACGACGACGACGACGACGACGACGACGACGACGACGAAGACGACGACGACGACGACGACGACGACGACGACGACGACGACGACGACGACGACGACGACGACGACGGCGGCGACGACGACGACGACGGCGGCGGCGACGACGACGACGATGTCGACGACGACGACGACGACGACGGTGACGACGACGACGGCGACGGCGACGACAGCGGCGGCGGCGGCGAAAGCGATGACGACGAGGACCCTGCGCCGATTCTGAGTGGATTTGGGCCTGGCGATCCGCGGCGAGGGTCGGCGCACCGGCCGCGGGCAGTCCTTTGGCGGCAGGGGCTGTGGAAGGGGGGGGGGCGGAGGAGGAGACGAGGAGGAAAAAGAGGGGAGGAGGAAGAAGAGGAGGAGGAGGAGGAGGGAGGAGGAAGGAGGAGGAGGAGGAGGAGGAGGAGGAGGAGGGAGGGAGGAGGAGGAGGAGGAGGAGGAGGAGAGGGGGGGGCGGAGGAGGAGAGGAGGAGGAGGAGGGAGGAGGAGGAGGAGGAGGAGGAGAGGAGGAGGAGGGAGGAGGAGGAGGAGGAGGAGGAGGAGGAGGAGGATAGGAGGAGGAGGAGGGAGGAGGAGGAGGAGGAGGAGGAGGAGGAGGAGGAGGAGGATTGAGGAGGAGACTCTCTCTCTCTCCCGGCGTCGGGGCACTGGCGATGCGGCGCGATCTTCCGACCCCATCTGGTCTGGCCTCTCGCCCTGGGCCCCTCGGGTCGCACTCGGTGCTGACTCCCTGGTCTCTCCCGCTCTCCCCCTCTCCCCTCTCCCCTCTCTCCCGTCTCCCCCTCTCCCCCTCTCCCCCTCTCCCCCCTCTCCCCCCCTCTCCCCCTCTTCCCCTCCCTCTCTCCCTCCCCCCCCCTCTCTCCCTCTCTCCCCCTCTCCCCCTCTCTCCCTCCAGTCGCCTGGGGGTCCTCCAGTCGCTCTCTCCCTCTCTCCCCCTCTCCCCTGCGATCCGCCGTCGCGACAAGATGGCCGCGCCGTCGAACCTGTGTATTGGGATGCGACTCCTGGGAGGTCAAGTTCTGATGTTGCGCTTATGCCCGAAATCCGGCTTGATCCGGCTCAATCCTGCCGAATCCCGCTCAATCTGGATTTAATCCCGCTTAATCCTAGGCCCACTCCGGCGTAGTAGCCCCCCAAATGGGGCTCCATCCTCCTCAATGTTTCCGACGAGCACCTCCCAGTAGTTGCCTCCCAATGCCGACCGGAGCCCCGGCCCCTCCCCTCGCGCTCGGCTCTGACTCTCTGACTCTCTCCCTCTCGCCCCCCCTCGCCCCCTCTCCCCCGCGATCCGCCGTCGCGACAGGATGGCCGCGTCGTGGAACGTGTCGACCGGAGCCCCCATGGCCCCGTCTCTCTTCGCCGCGCCTCGCGCCGGCTCGGGCCGCGGGGGCCCAGAGGTTCGACGCCGGGCGGGCACGCCCGTGGCGCGGCAGGCGCTGCGGAGCGCCCCGGCTGCCAGGGACTTTGCCCGCGTCGCCGCCGTCCTCGGCCCTTTGAGTCGGGGTCGGACAGGCCTCCTGTGACGATCGAACAACACGCCCCCATACCCATAGGGGGGACGGAGGAGGCTATGGGTGCGTGTTGTCGGATGGGGGTCCCCGCTCGAACGGGAGCTTCCCCAAGGGTCCGACAACTCGCACCCATACCCATATCCAGCTCCCCTCCTTTCGACCCTCCTATGGGTATGGGTGTGAGTTGTTCGCTCGTCATCCTGCCCCGACACGTCGATGAAGGAATTGGCCGTTTTCGGTTCGCGCGAGGGCGTCGCGGCCGTCGTTGTTGCGGGTCCAGGTCCGTCGGTTTCGGCCCCAGGCCGTTTTCATTGAGGGGAGGTTTGCTAAGGGGGGGGGTGTCCACCGCCGACCCGAGTCGGGCGTGTCCCTCTACAGGAGGCACATGCAGAAGCAGTCGAAGCATAGCCCGGGGTCTGTCTTGTTTTACTATCTTCGAGCATGTTGGGAGTATTTTTTTCTGCGTACTTCTACTTTGTTTGACTATGTTCGAGCATGCTGGGAGTCTTTTCTGACCACTTCTGTATAGTTTTGACGCCCGACATGGGTACCGAAAAAATGGGCACGATGCCCAACAACAAATGTTGTTCCAAACCAGCAGCGGCCGCTGTCAGGCAGGCGGCCTTCAGTCTCAAATGGACACACGCCGCGGCGACACCGACAGCGAGCCCCGTTCAAAATGAGCAGGAACTGCTGTTGGGCATTGTGCCCATTCTTTCCGTACCCACTTCGGGCGTCCAGATATAGGGGGACAGGCCCGACCTCACCCTGGCCCCCCCCGCGCGACTTCCCACCGCGCGCCCCGGAGGTACGTCACCCGCCGCGGCCCCGACGGCCGGGCCGCCGACCCCGCGGCGAGCCCGCCGCCCCCTCCGCCGCCGCCTTCGCCTCCGCCGCCGCTTCGGCCTCCCCGTCGCCATCGCCGCCGCTTCGGCCTCGCCGTCGCCTTCGCCGCCGCTATGGCCTCGCCGTCGCGTTCACCGCCGCCGCTTCGGCTGCGCCGTCGCCTTCGCTCGGCGCCGCCGTCGCAGTCGCCGCCCCCGCTGGCGCCGACCACCACTTGCCAAACCACCCCCACCAGACCCGAAGGCCCTGGACCCCCCCAAATCCAGGCTGGGGGTGATACGGGTTCCATTTTGCTCCCTCGGTGTCCTGGAGCGCACCCCCCCCAACGGTGGGTGGTTTGGTAGGTGTCAGCGCTGCCGTCGCCGCCGCGGACGCGACCGTCGCTGTCGCCGTCGCAGGCGTCGACCACGCCGCCGCCGCCGCCGTTCGAGGTCCAGGCGGGCTTGCCCCGCCCCGGAACCCCCGAAGGCCCGCGGGGGGTACACGCATGCCCTAGGCCGGCACAGCCCGGGCCAGCGCGAGGCCACGCCCGGTGTAGGCCCGGGGCCACCGACTTCGAGGGATTTGTTTGGCTGTCGTCGACGTCCTCCTCCTCCTCCTCCTCCTCCTCCAGGTTCCCTGGCCCAGGTCCCTCGCACACCCTGCGACTCCGCAGGTATGTGTGTTCTCCCATACCCATCGTTCCTTTATCCTTCCATATAGGCACTCCCCGTCACGGCGCGCGGCTTGCCATGCATGCACCTCTTTTTTTGTCTGTGCACAACGTCACGCTTCTTGCGCAGAGCGGCAAAGTGCTGGAGATCAGCGAGGAATATCGTGATAAGGATTTTGTGTTTATCACAGGATCACGGTTGCGACGGCGTCACATTGATGGACAATGTACGATCACTGCTGACCCGCGTACCCACATACTGAATTTGGGATATGGCAAAGGCCCTCTTGTTTCGTCGCGCACGGGATTTAGAGAAGATTGCGAAAAAGACTGGTTCGCCTTTATCATACTAGGCAGATCCACTGACCACCTGCAGGACCCCAAGGACGACAGGGAGCAGTGCAAGTTCGGTCAGACCGCATTCACTTGCTACTGATTGTCGCGTATTTTCCAGTGCGGCCACATGCGGCCAAAGAAATGCCAACGTATAAGAAGACACTGGCGCAGATGATTGGGTGGATGAATCAAATGTGCGAGTTACAGCCCAATCGGTGTCCATTGTCCTTGGTGGCGATATGAACGATTAGGCGGAGCTCATGGGCCTACAGTTTCTCCCAATGAACGCAATCCATTTGGGCCACTCCGACCTCAATAAGAGCACCATTGTACGACTCAGCTTCGGGACTTCATGGAAAACACAACCGTTGCCTAGCCAACACATACGCGGGCGGTCTGGAAGATCTTCCAGCTCACGCGTAGACTACCTCGGAGTAGGCCCGCCAGGATTGTGGACTCCACGACCCTGAACAAACGTGGGCGACCCTTGCACTTGGCACCAGTCAAACGCAAGTGGGATCACTACCCATTGCAGGTTCGAGTGCGATATGTTTTGGTTTTTCCCGCGGAGGCCGCACGGCACGTACCCAGCGGAATCTTGATGCGGTGGTTCAAGGAGCTGTTGATGGCTTGTGGAGGGAGCGCTTGTTGAAATAAGTGGAGGACCACTGCTACAACTCTTACGCGCGCTGGCGACAGTGTGAAGACCCTGTTGCACCTGACGAGGTTTGGCACCGTTTGATTCCGGAAGTCCAAACGATTGCCCTTGAATATTTTCAGAGACATCCGGAAGGTGATCAGAACCACAAGCTGGCAAGAGCACAACAACGAGACTTAGTGCGAGAGCAGGCAATATTACGACGACAAGTGGGGGCACTTGGCACCGAGGCACAGATGACGGGAATAATTTCACCACAGCAAAGACTGTGGCGACTTACCAAAGAATTACGAGAAGCTAAAGACCAGTATCAAATGCATTGTAATTGATAGTCTTGGAGCACAAATTTCCCATGCTTGGGAAACTCAAGATCACAGTCTTGCGCGTCGCCTTGCTCGGCGGCTAGCAACAGCCACGGTGGGGCCTGGGCGGCGTTTCTACAAAGCGCCGATGCTCTCGAACCCAACGGCGGAAATGTGGACGCAACACCTTGCGCGGCCCGGATGAAAAAAAGGAGGCCAGCCTTCGCAGCGTGTCCTCAACATCGACGAGCTCCCACAGGAGAAGCACGCACCACATAATGGGCGGCAACTTTGGAAGCTAGGCTTCAAGGATGCTGCGGAACGTGATCTACAAGGTGTGCGCCCATCTATGCATTGACTTGCATATCGAAAAGTGTTCCGCCATGGCCATTGCCAGCTGAAATATTCCGCGCGCTACTTCACCCTGCAGCACGGGGCCCGAAGCACAATGACAAGACTGGCTTCAAGGCAGTGTGGCTCATTCGTCGGTTGCGCCCATTCAGTTAGGCCATGATGCGCTATATTGGTCAACGGGGCACCGCTGCTTACCCGGAAGGGAAGTTCTTGGATTGCGTGCGTGGTGGAATGGCTCGCCGACGCCGTGAAGCTGCCATTGCAGTGCAACTTACTACACGCTGGAGGTCAAGGCAGATGGCAATGTCATGTGCCATTGTTTTTTACGACCAAGCCAATGCATTTGGAAGCATACCTTTGGAATCGATGGATGACGTTGATTTCCGGCGCTGCGACGCCGACGATGCGTCTCAAGGTACCCTGAACAACCACGAGAGTTACATTGCCATAGTTGTTGCCGCTGGAGTTGGTACTTATCGAATTGGCGAATGTGTCTCGCAAGGTCATCAGTCTGCACCCAACAAGTACAGCCGAGTATTTCAGCATGGTGTCTTAGAGCCTTCGCTTGGGCAACTTCTTGCAGCTCCAGCTGACGACGCTTTGCAGCGCTGCTCTCCAGTGGCCGCAGACCCTGTGGATTTATCAACTACTGCGTTCATGGACGACGTTGCGCACAAGGTGCTAGACGCTACGGCAACTGAGCTGGCGCCGAATCTTGACGAGGCCAGCGGGCAGTTCGACGCCCGACTATGGTCCCAGAACCACGGCAAGCGGCATGTCGCGCCGCGATTCGCGAGGCACGGGGCCATCAAGCACGCCAGATTAATTTCTGAATTGCACTGGGTTGCTGGTGCAGCTGGGCCGGCTGCGACGTATCTTGGCGTTCAGTAGTCACATTCTGGCCAGGGTGCTCACCGGCGTGCTGCGCGTCTGAAACAAAAATGCGAAGGGCATGGTGGAGCACGGGGAGTCCCAGGTTTGCTCGGAGTGCGTCGTCTCAGCTTAAACATATCGTTTTTCAATGTCCAGTTCAGGCAAGTGGTCTCAGTGGGCCCGAAGCGCATGTTCTGACTGCCAGCGACTGTCGTCTTCTGGGCTCAAATATCTTTGGATGATGCAAGAAGCTCTTGGGGGGCAAGGCCGTCATCAAAATACCTCAACATGACGGGCCCCTGAAACATCAAGCTCGCGCTCCATGAAAATATGGCGTCTTCTTGGGCTAGTGCCCGCTCGACCTCGAACTTCGAATCCGACGGCTTAGATGGCTGCAGGCTTTGGCGACCCATCGAGATGAGAATGCGCAGCTGCTCGCCGCGATGCATGGGCGTTTGACCGCGGGCGCCCGCGCCGCAGCGCAGGGCTGGAGTAGCGCGCGTCAGGGCAACACGTCGGCACTTCTGGCACATAATGATATTTTAGTTTTGGCGCGCGTTGACATGGGCCTGCTCTCCTCCATGAACTAGATGATGCGCCCCCACGAGTTTTTATATGTGAGTTCCGGAAGAAGTTTAGCAAGTTGAATTTCGCATCTCTGCGGAAAGCGCGTTTTGGGGGCAAGCTGGGGGAGGGGTGCGGCGACGGGGCAGGAGCAAGGAGATGGAGGAGGAGCTTACGCACCAGGAAGAGGAGGAGGAGGAGCTGCAGGCCAACCAGTGCCATTTTGGATGTTCGAGGAAACGAATGATGACGGATCCAGCTGTGGCCTTGAATTGGACACTTGTCAAGCGCGGTATGCACATGCGGTTCAATCAGGGCGGCGCGCGCGGGCATCGCGCACCCATCGACGTTCTCACTGCCACGAATCAATGTCCATGGTGCACGTCTGTGCTATCAAATAAACGCATTGCGCGCCATCGTGTTCGGAGGTTATTCCTACGCCACAAATGTCAGGCAGATCGCGGGCACACTAGATATCATTTCATTGTTCCTGACGCGCTGCTTTGTCCCGCATGCGGAGTTGAGCGCCCTAGCTTAGAGGCTCTGCAGGTGCACATTTGAAGCCGCGTCGCGTTAGACGCAGCTGCCTACTTCATTTTCGAGCCACCTACTCATGCAGTGGATGGTGTCCGCGCTGACGGAGGCGAGTATGCAGGAAGCGAAGAAGCGCTCGGCCTGCTCTGAGCACGTCTGCCCCGCTGGCGGCTACGGCAAAGATCGACAAATACGACGCCGAACGGACCTACCCCGAGCAGCAGGCAAGGCAGCGGGCAGTGCAACCCAGCTGACGGCGCCGACGGCGATGGACGCAGAAGGCCCCTCGGACAGCGAAGACGGATTGACGACCAGCACGCCCGAGCAAGTGCTCATTGTTACACAGCGCGCCCGGGCACTCGAGGGACGCCTGATCAGCGCGCACCTCTTGGAGAAGGACTGCATCATCAACTCACGCGCGGCAGCCGCGGCGCAGCAGTGCATGTCCCCTCTGGAAGCAGATCCGCAAGCACAACTGGGCCCATCAGCGCTCATGGTCGCGATGGCAGTGCTCTCGATTCTGTTGCAGCAGCCTGCAGCGAAGGACGCCCGGGACATTCGGCCTGAGGTGCAGGGGCTCAACGCTCTAGCGACGCGGCTGCGGGGCGAGAAGATGGAGATTGCAGCAGGGCATATCAAGCATTGGCGCGCGAAGTCGACATGCCCCAAGGACGGAGAAGAAAGCAATGCACGCTACTCGTTTTACATCCATGCGTTCGTGCCGATCGGAGACCCCCCCCAACATGCTGAGAGTGCCAGCGAACCTTCTAATCTCGAAGTGCCCCATGAAGCTCGGATCGCAGGCCAAGCCAGGCCCGCCGCCCCGTGATGGTCCAGAGCGAAAGATCCATAATTCTTTGCAGAAGACGCTGAAAAAGGGGGGAAGCACAAGAAATGGTAGTCATGAGGTCCGAGCAGCGACTGAGGGGTAGTAGTAGCGGGCACCAGGCACCACGCGTAGTTGCAAGTTCCCGCCCTCCTTCCCTTGTAAATACCCTCGTAGGAAGGGGACCCAAGCAATGTGCTTCTGAACGGGGTCGAGTGCAGTTTTCGGGCTCTTGGGCAACGTGTGAAGCTTCTGTACAGCGACGACCCCGTAAAGGCAAGGGTGAAGGAAGGGGCAAAGGTCAGTCCTAAATGCCGAGGCCTCCCCCGAATGAATGTTTCGTTTCTGTGCCTGCTTCTGCTCTCCTCCCCTTTCTTTGTCCTCGTGTTGCGCCTCGCTTTCCTCTCCCTCTCCGTCCTCCCTGCCTGTTGCGCGCGTGAGCTGAGATGCCTGAATTCTCACCCTCGGGACCGAGTGCCACAGAGCACTGTTCGGGATGATTTCGTTGGGCCTCTCGACCCTAACTTTATCCAAGGTGTTCCCAGATTGGATAACCTGTCGTGACGGGAGCGCCGACCTTTAAATTTCGCCAGGTGGGCTGCCCCCACTTTCGCGCACGGCGGTCGCAGTGCGGTCTTGACCATATGAGCGTTGACCAGAAGCTGAGAGCCAGCCAGCCGGCCTCCTCCTCCTCCTCCTCCTCCTCTCCTCCTCCTCCTCCTCCTCTTCCTCCTCCTCTTCCTCCTCCTCCTCCTCCTCCTTTTCCTCCTCTCCCCCCCTCCCCTCCCCCTCCCCCTCCCCCCCCCCCCCCCCCCCTCCCCCTCCTCTTCCCTCCGCTCGTGGGTGGCGCGTGGCCGCGAGGCGCGCCCGCGGCCGCCGCGAGGCTGGGGGCCCGGGAGAATGGCAAATCGGTTGCAGAGCTCTCTGGAACTAGGGGAACAAAAAGTGGTATGAACATAAGAACTAGCAGCTAACAGCTAGCAGCTAGCGGCAGGTAGCGGCAACCAGGTATCGGGGATGGACAGAAGCCCCTTCAGTAAAGCGTGGCTCAAGGAAACCGACCTCGGGCCCAAGCCTGGCGGGCGCAAGCCTGGAGCATGATGGCCGCGGCGCCCTCTCGAGAACCGAAAACTGACAATTCACAAGGGGAACGAACAGTAGCATAAACATAAGAACTCGGAGGTCCGCGCGGACTTCTCGGATCGGCGCTGGACCCCCCCTCCCTGGCGCGCGGAGCGCGCCAGGGGCGGCGCCGGAAGCGCCTCTGGGGGGCCCCAGCGCGGATCCGAGAAATCCGCGCGGACCTCCGAGTTCTTATGTTTATGTCAGCGTTTGTTTCCCTAGGAAGGCTGTCAGAGCGTTCCGGAGCGCTCGGAGGAGGCCGCGGCGCCCGACGCAGCCTCCAGAGCCGTTGGACCTCAACGATTCTCGATGGGCTGGGCTTGGACTTGGCTTGTTCTCGTCTTGGCTTTGACTCAGTTGCCGTCGTCGTCACATCGTCGTCGTCGTCTCCATGGCCGTCGCCGTCGCGTCGGTTGCGGTTGTGTTTGGGTCGTCGTCGGGTGCCTCAACCAACGTCTTCCGGGAGCGGGAGGAGGAGGAAGGCGAGGACTATGAAGGGAGGTGGGGAGGATGATGGAGCGGTTGGGACGGGGGAGGAGAAGGATAGAGGATACAATCAATATTGATAGTAAGGATGAGTGGTTTTCCAAGGTGTCCCTTGCCCATCCTTGGCCACGTTCGTTGACTGCGCTCCGCTCGAAAAGTGTCGGCATGGACTTCCGAGGCCATCGCACCCTTACTCTAGACTACCTGGGCGCACTGTCCTGGCCCAACCTCACAGAATGGGGCCAGCAGAGCCCGAAGGCCCCCTGGTGGAGGTTGGAGCCCGCAGCGATGGGGAGGAGAAGGAGGCGGTGGAGGCGGTGGATGAGGAGGATGCGAAGGCTGCGGGGGCGAGCGGAGGCGGGGGAGACGGGGGTGCAGGGGGAGGCGGAGTGGAGATGCAGTGGCAGCAGAAGGGCCCGGCGCAGAAGGAGGAGGGGAGCGGGAAGAGGGGAGGAGGAGGAGGAGGAGGAGGAGGAGGAGGAGGAGGAGGAGGAGGAGGAGGAGGAGGAGGGGACCAGGTGCACTTCCACCTGCTGTGCGGGGGCGCCCTGCGTGCCCTCCACTGGCGCGCGGACGAGTCTCCGGCGGGCCTCGCGAGGGGCCTCGGCGTCGCGGCGAGCTTCGCCTACCAGGAGGGGGGCGGGCGCTCGGCGCCGTCGTCGTCCTCGCCGTCGTCGACCTCGTCGTCTTGCTCGTCGTTGCCTCCTCTCGTTCTCCTCCTCCTGCTCCTCCTCCCCCTCCTCCTCGTCTTCCTCGTCTTCCTCCCCATCGTCCTTCCTCCTTTTTCTCTCCCCTCCCCTCCCCCTCCCTCCCCCCCTGTTTGTCCATCTCACTCTCGCCCCCCAACCTTCCCCTCCATCCTCCTTCCTCATTGTCCTGCCTTAAAAGGCGACGTGTCTGTAATGAGGCCCCGTTCTATAACAGAAAATAAGTCTTTGTTGCGCGGGCTGCTTGACGGATTGTGACCCCAATAGTATTTCGAAAACGATGATTCCACCGCGGCGGCCACTTCTGAGGCCTCCGCCGTCTTCATCGTCGACGACGCTTTCGTCGAGGGGGAGGGCGAGGAGGGGGAGGACGAGGGCGAGGACGGGTTGTATTCCCAATCGGGAATTCAGGTGAGGGGGAGGCTAATATGACAGACCCACATCTGTTATCCTTGTCCGTGTCCCTCTCCTGTCCCTATTCTTTGACCTATTCCCTCCCCCCCACGTCCTCTGTTCTCCTTCTCCTCCTCTTCCTCTTCCTCCTCCTCCTCCTTTTTCCCCTTCGTGCACACATTGTGCCCGCACGCACGTCTGGCAGGAGTGGTTGGCCCATTGGGGGCGCCCTGAGGCCGACACTTCTTGACGCTTCGCGTGTCCCCACTAGCCCATACAGCACCGATTGCCTGGCAAGGTGGTCTGATCAGGGAAGTGGGGGGGGGCATGCAGAAGGTCAAAAAAGATGGGGAATCGTCGAAGCGGATCTTGGGGCTGGGTCGCCGCTATCTTTGGAAACCGGAGGAGGAGGAACGAGGAAGAAACGGAGGAGGAGGAGGAGGAGGAGGAGGAGGAGGAGGAGGGAAGGAGGAGGAGGAGGAGGCGGAAGAGGATGACGATGAGGTGGGGGGAGAAGGAGTAGAGGAAGTGGATGGGAAAGGAAGATGGGTGCGATGACTATGACGACGGCGACTCAACTACAGAAGCCGTGTCGGGGCTTTGGCTTTGGCTCTGGGGCGACTTTTAGAAGTTTTTTGTAGCCATCTTGGAGACATGTTGGAAACGTTTGGGGCCTTCTGGGGGCGTTCTGCGGGCTATTCTGGGAAAGCTTCACGCCCTTCTGGGGCGCTCTTGGGCCCCGTATCACCAGAAAGGGGGAGGCTGCAATTTGCATCTCGCGCTCGGAGGTGGACGAATCACCTCTGGGGGGCTCTTTTGAGGCGCTCTCAGGAACCTCAAGGGCGCGCTCGAAGCCGTCATGGGGCTCTCTTGGCTCGTCTTGGGGCAACCTTGAGGCCCAAGAGGCTTGTTGGAAGCGAAACGGGGAGAAGACAACAACTAAGCCTGGTGATCAGGAGGTTTTGAAAGAACTTTGTTTGGGCTCTTGGGGACTACCTGGGGCAGCCCGGTCCGCATCTGGAACCGTATGTGGGCTGTCTTGGGCCACCTTGGCGGTCTGTCTGGAAGCTAGCGCTAGTTTGAGACAACTTCGGCTCTGTTGAGCCATGTTGGATACCAGTTTGGAGCATCTAGCATCTTGAGCCTTCTTGGCGCCATCATGGGCCGGCTTGAACGCTCTAAACCCTCGCGCCCCCCCCCCCCGTCCAGACCAATGGGAAGGGGGTAGGAGAGAGGGGTCAGGCCCTTCCCGAATAGGGGAAGGGAGGGGTTCTGAAGGAGCAACTGCGGACCCGTTATAGAAGAATAAGAAGAAGAATAAGAAGAATAAAGAAGAAGAAAGAAGAAGAATAAGAAGAAGAAGAATAATAAGAAGAATAAGAAGAATAAGAAGAATAAGGGTGGGAGTATCGAGCGCCGCCCGTCGCGATGTGGTCTGTTTCGTCAGAGGGCGGGCGGGATCCAGGGCGGGAGGAGGATGCGAGCAGGAGGAGGATGCGGTGAGTGCGACGAGGAGACTGCGAGGATGCTGGTGTCGGCCCATTGTAGACTCGAGAAACGAATAGCAGCGGCGCAGAGCGAGAAGGAGCAGGAGGAGGACACGGAGGAGGAGTCAGACCTCGAGGAGGAGGAGTAGGACGAGGACGATGAGTAGGAGGAGAAGGACATGAGGACACGGGGAGGAGGGGGAGGGGGAGGAGGAGGAGGAGGAGGAGGAAGGGAGGAAGGGAGGAGGCAGAGTGGGAGGGGGAGGAGGGCGCTACGGTCCCTGCTGGCCCCAGTTTGCCAAACGTCAACAATGGAGAGGGAGGAGGGGGAGAAGGCGAATGATACGAGGCCAGAGTTGGAGGCGGACGAGGACGAGGACAAGAGTAGGAGGAGCAGGACATGAGGACATGAGGACACGAGAGGGGGAGGAGGAGGAGGGAGGAGGAGGAGGAGGAGGAGGAGGGAGGAGGAGGAGGAGGAGGAGGAGGGCCCTCAGCCGAGGTGGAGGGGCAGGGCAGGTGGCTGCACGTGCACAACGAACCACAGCCATCAGCACAGCACAGGAGGAGGAGGAGGAGGAGGACGAGGACTAGCTCAAACGCAAGACTCATCACCGATGTTGAAATTCTTTCTCCCTCCAAGATTCATTGGCTTACTGCAGGGGCAAAAAACATTACATTACCGGAAAAATAGTTTCGATAATTATTTTTGCGCCCTGTAATGACGTCAGCGGGGTTGGGGGGGGATTTCACGATTAGGATTCTACAGAAATGATGAGCAGGAGTTGGGGAGGATTTGGTAATTGGGGAGGATTCTACAAAGGAAAAACAGGGAGTTGGGGAGGATTTGGGAATTGGGGGGGATTCTACAAAGGAAAAAGGAAGAGTTGGGGAGGATTTGGGAATTGGGGAGGATTCTACAAAGGATAAAGGAAGAGTTGGGGAGAATTTGGGAATTGGGGAGGATTCTACAAAGGAAAAGGAGGGAGTTGGGGAGGATTTGGGACTTGGGGGGGATTCTTCACAGGAAAAAGGAGGAGTTGGGGAGGATTTGGGAATTGGGGAGGATTCTACAAAGGAAAAAGGAGGAGTTGGGGAGGATTTGGGAATTGGGGAGGATTCAACAAAAGAAAAGGAGGAGTTGGGGAGGATTTGGGATTTGGGGAGGCTTCTACAAAGGAAAAAGGAGGAGTTGGGGAGGATTTGGGAATTGGGGAGGATTCCACAAAGGAAAAGGAGGGAGTTGGGGAGGATTTGGGGATTGGGGAGGGTTCTACAAAGGAAAAAGGAGGAGTTGGGGAAGATTTGGGAATTGGGGAGGATTCTACAGAGGAAAAAGGAGGAGTTGGGGAGGATTTGGGAATGGATTGGGGATTCTACAAAAGGAAAAAGGAGGAGTTGGGGAGGATTTGGGAATTGGGGAGGATTCTACAAAAGAAAAAAGAAGAGTTGGGGAGGATTTGGGAATTTGGAAGGATTCTACAAAGCAGAATGGAGGAGTTGGGGAGGATTTGGGAATTGGGAAGGATTCTACAAAGGAAACAGGAGGAGTTGGGGAGGATTTGGGAATTTGGGAGGATTCTACAAAGGAAAAAATGAGGCGTTGGGGGGGATTTTGGGATTGGGGAGGATTCTACAAAGGAAAAAGAAGGAGTTGGGGAGGATTTGGGAATTGGGGAGGATTCTACCAAGGAAAAAGAGGGAGTTTGGGAGGATTTGGGAATTGGGGAGGATTCTACAAAAGGAAAAAGAGGGAGTTGGGGAGAATTTTTGGAATTGGGGAGGATTCTACACAGGAAAAAGGAGGAGTTGGGGCGGATGTTTTGGCATTGGGGAGGATTCTACAAAGGAAAAAAAGGAGGAGTTGGGGAGGAGTTTGGAATTGGGGAGGATTCTACAAAGGAAAAAGGACAAGTTGGGGAGGATTTAGGAATTGGTGAGGATTCTACAAAGGGAAAAGGAGGAGTTGGGGAGGACTTCGGAATTGGTGAGGATTCTACAGAGGAAAAAGGAGGAGTTGGGGAGGATTTAGGAACGGGGGAGGATTCTTCAAAGGAAAAAAGGAAGAGTTGGGGAGGATTTGGGAATTGTGGAGGATGCTACGAAGGAAAAAGGAGGAGTTGGGGAGGATCTGGGAATTGGTGAGGATTTTACAGAGGAAAAGGGGGAGTTGGGGAGGATTTTGGAATTGGGGAGGATTCTACAAAGGAAAAGGATGAGTTGGAGAGGATGTTGGAATTGGGGAGGATTCTACAAAGGAAAAAAGGATGAGTTTGGGAGAATTTGGGAATTGTGGAGGATTCTACAAATGAGAAAATAGGATTTGGAAGGGATCTAGGAATTGGGGAGGGTTCTACAAAGGAAAAAGGAGGAGTTGGGGAGGATTCGGGAAATGGGGAGGATTCTACAACGGAAAAATGATGATTTGGGGAGGATTTGGGAACTGGTGAGGATTCCACAAAGGAAAAGAAGAGGAGTTGGGGAGGATTTTGGAATTGGGGAGGATTACGCAGAGGAGAAAAGATGAGTTGGGGAAGATTTGGGAATTGGGGAGGATTCTACAAAGGAAAAAAGAGGACTTGAGGATGATTTTGGAATTAGGGCGGGTTCTACAAACGAAAAAGGAGGAGCTGGGGAGGATTTGTGAATGGTGGAGGATTCTACAAAGGAAAAAGGATGAGTTGGGGAGGATTTGGGAATTGGGGTGGGTTCTACCACGGAAAAAGGAAGAGTTGAGGAGGATTTGGGAATTTGGGAGGGTTCTACGAAAAGAAAAAAAAGAGGTGTTGGGGAGGATCTGGGCATTTGGGGAGGATTCTACAAAAGGAAACAAAAAGGGGTTGGGGAGGATTTGGGAATTGTGAAGGATTCTACACATGAAAACAGAAGAGTTGGGGAGGATTTGAGAATTGAGGAGGATTCTACAAAGGAAGAAGGAAGAGTTGGGGAGGATTTGGGAATTGGGGAGGATTCTACAAAGGAGAATGGAGGAGTTGGGGAGGATTTGTGAATTGGGGAGGATTCTACAAGGGAAAAAGGAAGAGT